CGAATAGTGGGATTGACCGTCGCATTATATAACGCCCCCACGGCTGAAAGGGCGAGCATGTTTGGTGTGACAGGGATTCGAACCCGTGACACTCATATTGCGAGTCGAGTGCCTTAACCACCTGGCCATGCCGGCCATTGTTAATAATAAAGCTGATAAGGTAACTAATAGAGTGGGATTCTTATAAAAGCATTGTTATAAAATTATTCTTATGTTGATGTCAAAATTTAATAAAAACATAATTTGAAGGAAATGTGGCTAACTTTTCATGGGTAAATGCTAAAAACTGGGTGTCAATACTCTTGGTGGGAAGAGCACAGATAGCCCATTGTGTAGTTTTGCGTTTATTAAAAATAAAAAATATCATGCATAAAACTGTGGGTAATTTATTAATCAAATTTGTAAGTGTAAACATTTATGTACCTTAATTAATTGAAAGTGAGTAACTAGACCACATGTTTTTGTTTTTTTTATTTTACTTGCTATTATGTAAAATGTACTGTGAATATTCCGTTATAATTTTGTACTAAGAATAATTAACTCTTTGCACTATCAATTTTCTGATAAGTAGCTATGTGTGAAGTTTTTCAACTCAAAAAGGAATCAGTCAACAATCAGTAAAGTTCCAGCTAAAGTATATTAGTCGAAATTATATCTCATAAAATTGGATCGAATAATGTACACTATGAAAATGTGATACAATTTAATTGTGCGTGTATGTGTGTGTCTCCAGTAAATCATAAATTCACAATTCTGAGTCATTTGTAATATCCAAAATAATCCATTTTAAAACCTTGCATTACCATCATATCATTGTCTATACTTAGTTTTTAACAAGTACAACATTTTTCTACTTAAATGTAATTGGCTAAAAGCGAAGTTAGTAAACATTGCAACACCTAAATTGTTTTAGTAAAAACAGGCTACAAGTTTAAACGGTTTCTAACAGTTATAATAAGTAAGATTAGAATTATTGCCACTATGGTTTGGGTTTCTTTTAATACTGGGACTCCATTAAAAATTATAGTGGAATTTTGCCTCAGACAGTTGAGAAGATAAAGAAATTGCTAACGTCTCTCCCTTTAAAAAAAACCCAAAACGATCAGGTTCAATAGTTCGTTCTAAAAATGTTTGTTTTCTTTAATAGATGCAAGATGATGGACCTCGTGGGAGTTTTGGACCTAGATAAAACTAAAAACAAGAAGGTAAATGTGACATCCCGAAATATCTTATATGGAAAGGGATTAAGAGAATTAATAAGAAAAACATCTAATTTGATAAAAGACACTGAGTCTGGCATATAATGTATAAAGGAAGCAGGTGATGAAAGGGATAAATACAATAATATACAATATTATTACGTCTCCGTTTGTTAATTGATTTTCCGTAACTTCGTTCCGACGAAATTTTAGCGACACAAGTCCTTACTTAATAAAACTGGTTTATTCTTTCTGAATATAACTTTACGATACACTTATTTTCAACAGTCGCTCTTTTACAAACGTTTTAACAACGAACATTAACTTCAACAATACGTCTCTCTCTGATTGCAGTTCAATTACTCATTACCTACACACACATTACTGCGTCACGCCGTCACCCTCTTATATATATATACCAGACCACCCCCAATCTAGCAAATACTAGAGCACTCCCGAAGGAACAGGATAGTTCTAGAAAGCAGGTGGCGTGATACTAGTCACGTGACCTCGCTGACGCAACAGTAGTTTTAACTTGTAACAGTATACATCTATTTATACTTAAATTTTATTGTTTTATTGCCCTTTGAACCACATCTAACTACTACTGTTCATGCCATTATAAGTTTTAAATCACTTGAGGTACGTGGAGCTCACCTTAGGCTATCGAATTACATTACATAAAGCTACTCCTAGCTGCTCTCATGCATGCCTTGTGAAACATTTTTATGATATTATTATTATTTATTTTACCTAATCTAACTTTAATTAACCTAAAGAGATCTATATTTTTACATTTTAGTAACTTTTATAATAACAAATAAACATGAAAAACAAGAAATAAAGTACTTACCCGATTCTTCTTTTTTTTATATTTGCTGTCGACTATCTATGACACCTAACCCTACTTTTTTATACTAATGGTAGAATTGCACTAAATATTTATTTGTTTAATAAAATAATGCACCAAAGAATAATAATATGCGAAAAGCAGACAATTTCCCCTAACTATCACAATTATTCTGGCTTTCTAACTATTCGACAAGAGCCGTTACAAATTCATCCAAGCTAGTTGTTATCTTTCCCATGGGAACGAAGCTTGCACTAACAGAGAAAAATTACAATTCTCTATTCAGGAAACAACGTAATATAATATGTCATGTGATAGATGAAACCTTGGCTTTCTATTGGTTACACATAATATAGTATTGTTACGTCTCCGTTTGTTAATTAACTTTCCGTAACTTCGTTCCGACGAAACTTTAGCGACACAAGTCCTTACTTAATAAAACTGGTTTATTCTTTCTGAATATAACTTC